AAATTTATCTAGATTTATTTTCCTGAAAATTTATCATAGAAAAGATTTGAGTACAATTTATTTGATAAACTAAAGCAATGTAAACCCGCTTAAGGTAGATCAGTGTAAAAATTTCAATACTCTCTAATATTGCTGATCAAAAACTTTTTGCCATAGCTTAGTATTGTCAACAATAATTTCTGTGAAAAGTAGAGGAAACAGTAAAGCTTGTGTGATATGGGCAATAGATTTTCTTACTTTCACTTAGTCGTCTTTTTTCTCTCATTCACCCCTTTCTGACGCCAGGATATGAACCCGTAATCTTGCATTAGAAATTGAATAGCTGTAACTTCGTTTATAGTTGTCCAAATTCAATGTATAATTATTCAATAGGAACTTTTTATACATAAGCAAAAACATTAACATACTTTTAATGACTTACTCCAGGTACCTCTGGAGGCCAAAATTCTGCCATGTCCTTAAGGAATTTATCAAAAATGTCTTGATTTGATTTTCTCTGCCTCCACATGAACTGACATAAATACGAGTCTAACATAGAGCGATGAGTCCCACATTCATTTTTGTTTCTCCTTTTGGCCTTCGCCCACATAGACTCAACTCTTTGAGTGTGAGTACCAGTCTCTTGGTCGACAAAATTTTTGGAGTGATTCACACAGTACAATCCCTTTAATCCTTTCCAATCATAAATAGTAAACTTCAAAAATATTCATTGTGTTATCACTTTATAACCGCAATAACACAAACAATACTAAATTAAAAAATATTTAAACATGTGATCTTATTTCTATATCAATGTTATCAAATTTCTTAACATAATTGGTAATTAGTTGACTGTCGTGGATAATGAAGAGAAGAATAGTTGGGGTGGTCAGTCAAAAAGGAAGGCAAAAATAAATGATAATATTTATTTTTACATATGCCGACGTTTCGACCTGAAGTTCAGGCCTTCATCAGGGCTAAGAAAATAACCAGATAACAAGGTATGAGAAACATAAGTAGTGATGGTAAAAAAAAAATAAAATAAATAAATATAAAGTAAAATGAAATTGTTAGAATAATGACTAAGAACTAAGAGACCTCCCTTGCAACGACTTTTATTCTCCCTTCAACACTTAAGGAGACAGGTATTACTTCTTTTATTTCTTTCTTATTTCAGTTTTCTCAATTTCTTCCCTCCTTCCTTTCATTCCTTTTCTCTGTTCTTAACTCTTTATTATATTATACATTGTCTGTACATCTTGATAGACTTTACAATATCTTAATTTTACTATTTATTTTCATTTCTTATATAACTTCATATTTCTTTTTTATGTTTTACATTTTATTCTAAGATTCCCATTGTAACACTTATGTCACCCTTTTTGATTACGTCTACTTCAACATTCCACACTTTGTAACAGTTATTATTATTTATCTCTTAGTTCTTAGTCATTATTCTAACAATTTCATTTTACTTTATATTTATTTATTTTATTTTTTTTTTACCATCACTACTTATGTTTCTCATACCTTGTTATCTGGTTATTTTCTTAGCCCTGATGAAGGCCTGAACTTCAGGTCGAAACGTCGGCATATGTAAAAATAAATATTATCATTTATTTTTGACTGAGCACCCCAACTATTCTTCTCTTCATTATCCACGACAGTCAACCAATTACCAATTATGTTAAGAAATTTGATAACATTGATATAGAAATAAGATCACATGTTTAAATATTTTTTAATTTAGTATTGTTTATGTTATTGTTCTCTTCAAATTTCTTAACAACTGTTACTAAATATCATTAAAAAATCACTGGCGGGCCTAATCTAAACAAGACCCTTTAACAGTCGTACTAAAGTATGAAGCCTTACCAATTGTGTATGTTGAATAGACATCTAAATAATATTATATTCTATATAGGAATAAACACGTTTCAGTGAAGTCGGTTATATATGTCAAATATATTAAGGAGGATAGCTAATTTAATACTTAATTTCATAATAATATAATATTGGAAGTGAATAAAAAGGGTTGAATAAATTAATGTTGAACAATTAAAAGGCAAGCTAATCTAGTTCTACTAGTTCAGGGAAAAGAGAAAGGCTGCTCTGTAGTTTCTGAAGAAGGAAAATCCCAAAGAGGAGAGGGACAAAGGTTTTTGTTTTGGCAAGTTGTTATTGTGTGGCTGCAGCGAAGAGAGGATAGGAGAAGGGATCCGGCTATAGTGTGTAAAACCCAGTAATAGTATTACCATCTTGGAAGTTGTTTGGTAGAGCTACTAGTTGTTTGGAATTACAAGAGAGAGGATCTCCCAGGGAGCTTGAGTTGAGTAGAAGAAAGTGTCACCAATTTGGAAGTTGTATTTGGCAAAACATTGGAAAGCATTTGAAGACAAATCAATTTAGTTTAACAAAGGAAGAAACAGTGTATATAGAAAAGAGGTTAGTTTGCCAATTCATACTTCACTTTAATTTAAAATCAGTTTTTAATTTTAGTATAAATACTGTAAATAATAATAGTATGATTGTTTTGATCTGATTGTCAGTATCCCACACCTGAGATAAATAAATATATAAATATTCTTACAATTTTGTTTTTTATTTAACAACCTCTTATTTATTTACAAAGTATCCCAACAGTATAAAGCGATCTTCCACGAAGTTTATTACTAGCTTAAAATATAAGAGACATGTTACAATAAATTAATATTTTAATTCAATGTTGATTTTCTTCCCTTTTTTTGTTTCAATTGTCCTCATATTATTTATGATTTTTATTTTAATATCTTTTAAATTATAATCTATAAATTAAAGAGAAGTCGGTTGGGCTGTTCAATAAAAAAAAAATAAAAAGTCAAAATAAATAAATGATATTTATTTTATTTGTACATTTCTGTGCTTTAATAATAATAATAATAAGGCTTAGGGAACCCGAAGGTTCGATGCCGACACCACCAATCGCTTGTTACACACCTCCCTCCACCGTTCGCCGTCCAAACCCAGTCCCTTCAGATCGGCTTTAATGCAATCTTCCCACCTTCGCTTCAGTCTACCCCTCGGACGCTTACCATTCGGCACAGCAAATATTAACCTTTTAGGAATTCTCTTGTTACTAAGCCCAACAACTTTACAAGCCCATTTGATTCGCCGCGATGAAATTATCTCAGTTATATTACCCGGATACAGCTCACGCAATTCGGTGTTGTGTAACCGTCTGAACTCTCCGGTTAACTCATCCTTCTTCGGTCCGAATATTCTACGCAATACTTTATTTTCAAAAACCTTAAGACGCTGCTCATCCCTTAATGTAAGCGGCCAAGTTTCGCATCCATAAAGAACTGTAGGCAAGATAATTGTTTTATAGATTCTAATTTTTAAGTTTCGGGACAAGAGGCGCGAACTAAGTAGTTTTGTCACAGAAAAATAACAAGCATTCCCCGCCTTCAGTCTAACCTTAATCTCTTCTTCAATTTCGTTTTTTCTAGTTATCGTAGAACCTAGATACCTAAATTTATCTACCTGTTCAAACATATTACCATCTATATCGATATCACCAGTAGTATCGCCATTTTTGCAGCTAACCATATATTTTGTTTTATCCACGTTTATTTCGAGTCCTAGTTCTTTACCGGCTTTCATTAACGTTGTCGTATTTAGTTTTATAGTTTCAACGTCTTCGCTTAACAGTACCAGATCATCAGCATAGCCCAGCACGGATGTTGTCCCGCCCAGATCCAACCCTTTCTCGGTTCGCATTACCTCCCTAATGGCATGTTCTAATGCCAAATTGAACAGGACAGGCGAAAGAGAATCCCCCTGTTTTAAGCCCGAACGAACCTCAAATTTTTCGGACAAATTATTACCGATTCTAACTTTATTGAGTGTCTCCGTCAAGCACATCCTGACTAGATTTACTAGTTTTTTTGGAATCCCCTGCTCGATTAGAATATTATACAGTTTCTGGCGGTCAATAGAATCGTAAGCCTTTTTAAAATCTATATACAGCTGGTGAACAATACCGTTATACTCCAATTTTTTCTCTAATATTTGCCGTAAAGAAAATATTTGATCAATAGTCGAACGATTCCGTCTAAATCCGCATTGGTAGTCTCCGATAATTTCCTCAGCGTATTCCGTGATTCGACTGGTTAAGATTAAAGTAAATATTTTATAACATACCGGAAGGAGTGAAATTCCTCGATAGTTATTACAATCCGTCCTCGGACCCTTTTTTCTGTGCTTTAGTTCACGTATTTCTGCTAACCGTTACAGAGGGTACTACCCAACAGGTTCCGTTCCAAAACATCTTATTTTACTGAAACTTCTTCTTTTATCTTAGTATTTTCCTTATTTACCTTTTTCTTGTCGATTTCTTTTCCACATCCCTTCTTCTATTTTGTATATATTGACACATTTATATATTACATCTTATTTTCATAATTTTAACCTTTTGATTCTCTTCTATGTAGTCAGCATGTTTTGATAGATTATACAGTATCTTAATTTTTCTATTTACATATATTATTTTCTTTATATAACTTCATATTCTTTTTCTCTGTTTTACATTTTATTCTATGTCAATCTCACTACTTTTTAGTATTCTAAGACATCATATTTTAGCTACTACGTCATCCCATGTATTCTATGTTTCATAATATTCCATTACATTTCTTTGTTAATTAATTTTTTTTTTCATTTCTTTTGTTACTTAATTTCATTATGTTTCTTTTATTCATTATGATTATTTCAGTAGTCCACAACTTTGTTGCTGTTATTATTTATTTCATAAGTTCCTCTATGTTACTCTTATATTATTATGTCATATTGTTATCTGGTCTTTCCTTAGTCCTGATGAAGGCCTGAACTTCGGGCTGATGAAACGTCCGCAAAAATAAAAACACAAATCATTTATAAATTTTTAATTTTTATTTTTTTACTGAACACCCCAACCAACTCTCTTCAATTTTCACTAAAGTCAACCACCAATTTACTATTTTAAATCTATAAATTTATTACAGCTTTCAGATGGTAGGTATACTATTAGAGATGTTCATTTGCCTAATTCTGAAGATTTTGAAGGTAAAGATGAATTGATGATATCTGTTGCCCTTGGCTTCGTTGCACATCTCGTTCAGATGATATCATACTTTATGGATGTACCAACGCGCTACCCTATTTGCCATTTCGGTTCCAGAAGCAAAATTATCGATCATATTACTGATAACATACCTGACAAGGAGAGGGAGTAAGTATTATGCTGTTATAGATTATTATTATTATTTGCTTTCTCTCTATCGATAGTAGAGAAACTCTTTATTTTAAATTCTGTTGAGTTAACTCCACAAATCATGTTTTATTTTTCTCAATGAAATTTTTGTATTTCTTCTATGCCACTTTGATCACAATGGTTTTCATATTCTTAGAGATGGTAAAACCACCTTAATTTGGTTTGTTTGTTTTTGCTTAGAGGTGTAAACCTACCGGCCATAAACATCTATTAATGTTAATCTGGTTTTCATTGATTATTATTTAATAGACTGGATTTATATATATTTTTGTCTATACACATACAATCTTCTTCAATAATTCATTGATTGTTTATCATAAGTAACGTAAACATTGTATGTCGTAATATGTCCTAGTAAAGTTAATTAAAAGCAAATAATTCTATCTGCCTTAAGGGACGGAAAATAATGTATGTCTATATGAAAATGTAAGTGAGAAGGAATTGGTCGGGGGGGGAGGGAGGGTGCGGTCAAATAAATACTAGATTTATTCGACCTGCAAGTTGGGTCGAAACGTTGGGGTAATTAAAAATACTATTTTTAAATAATTTAGTATTTATTTGACTGCACCCCCCCGACCAATTCCTTCTCATATATATCATGGTCAACCATCTCTATATCATTATGAAAATGTAAGTGGGTTGTTAGTGAATGCTGAAATTTATATTATATATATATATATATATATATATATATATATATATATATATATATATGAATAATTTCATATTCAAGGCAAATGAGGTACCCCAACATATTTTTTAGCAGAAGATATTTGCCTCATTATTTATTTTATATATTTAATATTAGAAAGACAATAGTGTATAAATCGACGCAACTCTTTGCATGTAAACTGTAATTGTCAATACTCAGCTACTTTCGGTATGCGTTGGGGATTTGATAATAGTGTACTCTAGGTTATCTTGAAACCAGCCACCATCTTGGAGAACAGAACTAGTACCAAATATTTTTTCTTACAAATAATAATAACTTTTAACTTTTTATTTGTAGTAACTTTCATTTGTTTTGGAACAAAATTACAGATTTCCATTGTACTCCCGTGGTAAAGAAAGGCATGCATTTAATTATGGTGTATATCTCTTAAACAAAAACATAGCACAACTACGGTGGTATTGTGGACTGACCACGTCTGATCTAAGGCATACTCTACCGAATCTGCAAGGCCTTATGAATCTGAAGAGAGATGACTTTGGAAGGTAATGGATATTACTTTTTAAAAATTATTTATTTGAATTTTATTATCAATATTATTTTGATATAATTAGTCTGCCAAATTCATTTTTAATTTAATTAGTATCGATGGGTAATTCTATTCAATCATTTTCAACAATTTTTATTTTATTAATAATAAAACGATCATTTTTAAAATTGTTTATGTTTAACTGTCTCCTGATAACCTTTGTCATCAGACAGAATTAATATTGCTTTCATGGTAAAAAATTGGTTACTTGTATGGAAAAAAAATTACCTCAATTTGAGCTGAAATAAAATTCAAGTGATATATAAGATTGAGATTCTACTTTTTAAATAATAAAAAAAGGTTAATATTTATCTAAGAACTTGAAATAACAATGCCTCTGGGAGGTTTGGTGGGAACTGAGTCCACTATAGCATGACATATACGACTCACTAACACATTAATCTCAAACCTCTTTCAGTTCTACTTAATTAAGATGCATTTATAAAAGCTAATAAGATACATTTTAAACTAAATATTGTCGGTTTCTTGTATAAAGTAACTAAGTACACTTTTGGTCGATTTGAACCTGAAGATAAATAGTTATTAATGTTGATCGTATTTAGTTACAGTTATGATCTTTTGAGTCTCTTATACTCGTAGATATACAGGGAGCACATGGTTTATAATAACCGGATGTGAACACCAATCACTCCCTCTTCTTTAGGATGGTTGGCAATCCTTTTGTAGACTTCTCCATCCTTTTGTTTTTACTTTCACTTACCTATATATGAAATATATAGTAAGGGACAGTATTGCAATCATGAAAATTTTTTAATCTGAATTTTCAATGGAAATACTTGTTTTGAGATCTCCTTAGTCCTAATAACTAAATCCAGTAAAATGGTCTGTGTGTCTGTATGTATGTAATAGGTCTAGCTCAAAAAGAGAAAGTTGTACGAAAGTCAAATTGCATATTTAAGGTTTGTATATAGCTGGGATGTTAGACCTAATAAAAAAAATATCTGTTCTAGGAATGTGAATGCCAATAAAAGTCAAAGAAAAACTGGTTTGAGTTTTTCTCTCGATCATGGATTAGATAATGTTGACGCAAGACAGGTGAATTCTGATCCTCAACCGTACACTTTTGAAAGAAGGCTTCAGCATGAAACCCATCCACCTATCCATGATTTAGCATCTCTAATGTCGTTAGATATACCTTCTCATTCCAAAAGCAGCTATCACGAGGATATCACTTCTTCCACTTCTGATCTTAAATGTACTGAAGTCGCGGAAGATATTTCTCGACTAAGAGTATCTGATGATTCTGAACTAAAAATACCTGATGATTCCAAAATAAAAATATCTGATGATACTGAACAAAAAATACCTGCTGATTCTGAACTAAAAATATCTGATGATTCTGAACTAAAAATACCTGATGATTCTGAACTAAAAATACCCGATGATTCTCTACTAAATATATCTAAAGGAGATGAAAACAGTTGTGATATTCCAGGAACCGAGCAAATTATCTATGAGTCTCATTCTCATGATGATTTAAGTTCCTTTAATGAAGAAACTAGTGTTTCTCATGAAATATGATACTTACTATATTATTTACTAAATCTATTTTCTATTCCAGTATTATATTTATACACAATTCATATTTATTTGGATTGCAGTTGATGTATAGTTATCAGAATTTTTTTTTTTTAATAGAAGAATATAAACGTCAGTATGTATAAACAAGCGTAAGAAACTTTGTAATCTAAAGCTAAAATATTGAGAAATTTATAACTATATAATAAATATTTCAATTCATATTTAATCAAAAGTAATACTTTAACGGATCGCCGTAAAGAAAACTTGGAAGCAATACAGCAGATTAATATTAACAGTGTTTTAAATAAGTGGCTGTATCTTAGGTTTTTATTTTTATCTTGGGTATTTTTGATAACTTTATTAGAAATTCCTTCCCTATACATTGTATTTATTAATATTAGTTTAGAGAAACCTCTCAACGACAGAAAGCCATGGGTTTATTGTCTAGGGCTGAAGGATTTGTTCATTTTAGAACTATTTCCACCGGAACAGAATATTTTCTTATTAAAAAATAATTACCTAGATATCTGTAGGTCCTACTTATCTTATTAACATTAGAATGAGAGGGGAGTCCAACACCTTTTCTGCATAGCTGGTCCGCTTTCTCTTTGCCTTGAAGTGAATCCATCACGAAGGAATAAGAAAAATAAAATAAAGTTCTTTACAGAAATACCCAAGATCAGATTAATATAATTCCTCTTAACAAAATAATATTTAAAAACTGCTTCTGTTATTGTAGTGTTAAAAATCATTGAAACATTAAAGAATTATCGATTATAAAGTTTTTTTTTATATTAGATTGCCACTAAGACAAAAAAAAAAATTATAGATCGATGAAATCCAAGTTTTTTACTTACTCATATTTGAGGCTTGTCAGTGTTCAAATAAAGAGATTTATTATATATATTTATCGGCTAGCTAGAAGTTAAAAAAGGCCTCTTTCAACATGTTCCATAAAACTTATATCCATTATTATCCGTATTTATAATTAATTAAATAAATAAGAGATATTAATAGTTTTAAAGATAATAGTCCTTTAATTTTTTTTTTGTGCAAATATATCTATTCAAAATTCAAATATAAATTTTATAATGCATTAAAAACAATAATTAAAACTAAAGTAAACTGTCTGGCTAAAACTGGAGTTAAAACTAGTTTTCTATCTATTATGTGCTTTTGTGAATGCCTTTTGTGTCTAAGGATGAAAAAAATTGTCAGGAATTTCAGTCGATATTTTTATTGGAGAATGTGGGTCATTCTCACACATGTTTGGGTCGAAATGTCAGCTAATTCACTAAAAATATCGACTGAAATTCCTGACAATTGTTTTCATCTTTGTAATTGATCAATTGACTGATTACCCATGTCTAAACTTTTGTGTCTAATATGCTGATACATTTAACAAAATTATTTTTGCCACTTTTATCTAATAATCAGTATGTTAGATTATATCTTTTCTTTGAAACATGTTTAAAACATCTTATTTTTTATGGTTTTATATCATTGAGGTTGATATGAAATTGTACATCAACGGTAACACTGCAGTATATCTTATCTCTCAGTATCAACTAAAAAGAAATTTGTTTGCATTTTATTAGTATTAGTAAATACCTCATATACAAATATTGATATAATTAGAGCATTTGTAAACTCTAATATATATAATGTTTATATTTGATTGAGTCAGTAAATATCAATGTAAATTGTAGTTATATAGAAAATAAAGCATCTCTAAAACTTATGAAAATTGTGTTATGACATATTTCAGTGTTACTGTTGATATGTCACTTTTACAGTGGTATGTATCCTTTATAGCAGAGGTCTTAAATCCATCTAAATTTTCTAAAATATAAAAAAATTGAGATAATATCTTATTAGGAGATAAGTAATAAAAAATAAATGAATTAGGAAAAAAGTAAGAAAAAATAAATTAGCAAGTTCTTTTTCCAGACAAATAGTAGCTTATTCTATCCTTATAAATGAAAAAATAAAATAAATGTTCTATATGTCGAATAGTCACATATAAAAATATATAAAATGGAATTGTTATCAAAAATGCCTCTTAGTTTTTGTTAATAAGAACGAGAAATAATTAAATGAAGGAGAAAAATGGTTTCACTTCATCCAAATTCCGTTATTAAAATTTAGAAAGTTTTGCAAGTAATCAGGGGTTTATAAATAAAACTCCTAAAGAAATTTCATTGCTTCATTCTCTGGCGCTAACAAATAACTATGATTGTTTTATTATCGTTAAGATGAAAAATTCAAGTGAAAAAAGTTCACTATTGAATAAAAATTGTGATAAATTTCATAAATTAAAACAATTAATGTAAAAAATAAATCTCTGTATTCATTTATATCACAAATTTGATTTATTTGATTTTTGAATCCCAAAGAAAATTTTAAACATTTATGTATTAATTTTTTTTAAAGGTACTTCCATATTTGATGAATAAATGTTTGACTATATTAAATATGATTTTATAAAAAGATATGATTTTTTACAATTATGATTTAAATGAAAAATACAATCGCTCAAGTTGGAAATCGAGAATGATAATTGATCTACTATTTACACTTAGTTATCAGAGTTAAAAAACAATGGATACCATTATATTTATAATGAAAAGAAGATAAATTTTCTTAATTAATCTTTTTTTTTTTTATGAGATGTTTTGTATTATTACTTAGAATTCCATTGTTAGGAACAATATTTTACTTAAATAAAACCTATAAAATCATAAACTTCATCATAGTTTGATTGATGACGACAGGTTTGATCATTTTTTTTTTAAGCTGCAATTACCAGGATTGATGCGGATACTGTTGTTATGGAAAAATTTAAAAATAAACCTGTTTTATATTAGATTCTCCTCCAATAGCTTATTTATTTTTATACAACAAAATACATACTCATTGATGGCATCGGGTTTGGGTGAAACACTAAGTTTAGGAACTATTAACTTTTGGAAAAGATATTATAGTTTATCTACAGCCTGTAGCAAATTATGCTGTCCTATGTGTGTGTGGCTTGCTAAAAATTTGATTACATATTGGCCAATGAAATGATTGTAGACCCCTGCTGTTTAGAATTAATAACCATTCTAGATTAAATAAAATCTTTCCAAGATGTAATATGAAATAGAACAGAGTGAGATTTATGGATATCTCAAGCTGTTGATTTGAATAATTTACATGTCAATTTTTTCTGTTGATATATTAATGATTATGGTTATAACATTCAACCAGTTGATTTTTTTTTTCTTACTGTAAATTTGTATATATCTATTTTTAATTTATTCTTAGAATTTATAGTTTATAGTGTTCACAGAATTCCCTTATATAAATTAGGCATTATGGAACTACTTCATCTGTGATATGTCTGTATATGTGTATATATATATATATATTTATGTATATTGTTAAATAGAATATAGATTTTTTTATTGTTTTCTCTACCATAGTATCCCTAAGGAAAAATGTAGAAAACATTTGTAACATGCTTTGTAAGATGAATATATTTGTATGGGTAATTGAATCATTGACAATGGTATAGATTTATGACTATATCAGAAACAAAGTATACAAGAAAAGAGTAAAGACAATTTTTAAAAAATATGATAACAAATAAAACATAATCAGTAACGCTTTTATCATTTCTAAATCTTATTTTATTAATTTTTTCAGATCTTATATTTTTTTTACAATTTAGTGGTGGATATCTAGTTGATTGTTGAAATTGTAAGGATTAGAAATATTCAGGATATGCAGTCGATAATCGTGTTCATTACATTTGCTGATGTTTTGACCTAAGAGTGTGGTTCATCATCAGAGCAATGTAATCGAAATGTCAGCATACTTAATAAACACGATTATTGACGGTATATCCTTACTTTTTAATCCTTATTTTTTAAATATTGATTTTCTGTTTAGAGCCACCATTAAAATGCAGCTTTTTTTTTCAAATCATGAACTGTCCTTGGAAAGATGTATGTGTGTGTATATATATACTTTTTTGGAGAAAAGATGGGGAGAACACTATCGTTTCAGATTTTGCTATCAATTAAATTTGTAATGAAGAGGAGAATAGTTGGGATATCAGTCAGAAATAAAACTAGCAAAAATAAATAATAATATTTATTTTAACATTTGCTGATGTTTCGACCCGAAGTTCAGGGCTGAGAAAAGAACCAGATAACAATTGGTATGAGAAACATAAACAATGTAGGTAAAAAAAAAAACTTAAAGTAAAATGAAGTAGATAAGTGAACATTAAAGTAAAATAAAGTAGGTAGAATAATGACAATAACAAGAACTAAGAAATAAATAATAATAACAGTTACAAAGTGTGGACTAATGAAGTAAACATAAGTACTAAAATGGTAATCTTAGAATAAAATGTAAAACAGAGAAAAGGAATATGAAGTTATATAAGGAATAAATATAATTGTGGGTTGATGGTCGACTGTAGTGAATAATGATGAGAAGGATAGTTGGGGTGATAAGCAATCAGTAAATTGAAATATGAAATCTTTTTTAGCCCTGCAATTAAATTTTTGTTTTTTTCATTAATTTAAACTTGGTTGTTATTTTAATAAGGACTGCGACTAGAATTTTTCCAGATAGACAAGTTTAATGTTGCTGTTCTTTCTTGTCCATCACCTTTTGATTTTCTGCAACTTGAGGAGTTAAAACTTTCTTTATAGTCGTGTGACTATTGCTACTTTGTTTTTATGCGACTTAGCATAGATACCATATTGTTATTTATCCCCTCCTATCCGTTGAAGGGTTAAGTTTTATCTTATAGAGTATGAGTGTTACCAGACACCATTTTGTTTTCTGTAATCCTTCCAATGTTTACCTTTTCTCCTCTTGTTCCTTCTCCTAAAAAAGAAGAATTTTTTTTTCTTTTTCATCGGTCCATATTTGAGAACGATGTGAACTAATTACTTGGACAACCACATAATGTAAGCGTATGTCAAGAAAAAGCTATCCTTAAAAGCATTATTGTTCCTGTAATCACTGTTTTATTTCATCTTCTTTATCTTCCACCTTTGTTTCTTGCAGCGTGGAGATGCCTCAGACCATGTTTGCCAGGCATCGCGATCCCTAGCCTGCACCTTCATGGTATTTAACCCTTTTCCTCTCTTCTGCCCCATCCTTGCGATATGTTCTATCCTTGTCAATCTTGGCTCTCGGCCTTCATGCATTCGACACAAATGCCCAAACCACTTCAGCTGCCTCTTTTGAATTGTATATTTCACAGCTGAAACTCTCAGATTGTAATGATTTTTTTCATTTCGAACCTGGTCTCTTCTTGCTCAGCTGGCCATTCTTCGGATCTTAACCCTTTTCCTCTCTTCTGCCCCATCCTTGCGATATGTTCTATCCTTGTCAATCTTGGCTCTCGGCCTTCATGCATTCGACACAAATGCCCAAACCACTTCAGCTGCCTCTTTTGAATTGTATGTTTCACAGCTGAAACTCTCAGATTGTAATGATTTTTTTCATTTCGAACCTGGTCTCTTCTTGCTCAGCTGGCCATTCTTCGGAGGTACTTCATCTCTCCAGCTTGAATTCTACTCCAGTGCCTGTCTAGTGAGACCCAGCTTTCACTTTCATAGAGAAGGGTATGGAGATAAACTGCCTAAATAATATTTAAATTTTATATTATTCTCCACCTCCCTTTTCCCAACTAAAGTATTGCATTGGTGGTAATAGACATTTTTTGCTTTTTTAATTCTATTAGAGAGCTCTTCATCTTTGCATTTTGCTGATAACTGTACCTCTATTTTATTAATTTTTAAATTTTGTTTCTTTTTCTTCTAAAGTAATTACCGTTAAATACATAATTCGAAACAAAAAAAAGCTCCTACTAAAAATTAAATCCACTACGCTAGGTCGAAGGTACCCCTCCTGCTGATGCCTGCACCGCCTCATGGGATATGCCTTGGTGACCCGCAGCAATGCCGTTCGCTGTATTGTCGCCAACTTACTCTTCTGTCGGTGAAAGAGGTTCTGGTTCCAGGCGGGAGACGCATGCCTCAAGATACCTATAATCACTCCCTTATAAATTGTTAAGGTTGCTGGGTATCTGAGGCCCCAGAAAGCGCTCCCAAAGCGACTGAGACCGTTTCTAAGGTAGTCCAAGTGAGGAGTAACGTTGAATCCTTTCCCAAATCTTACGCCTAGATAAGTGACCACCTCACTTGGACGTATTCTCGGTCCTTGAATCGTAATATTAATAGGGTGTGCCCTATCAGTTTTCCCTTTCATGCGAATTGTATGAGTCTTTGAAGCGGCCGTGACAACTTTTTCCTCTGGCACCATTCTCCGACCAAGTTGGCGCATCGTTCCGCTTCTTGTCTTAAGCCGGCTCTACTATTGGAGGCCACTACTACGGCCAAATTCTCTACGTATCCAGTGGCAGGGAACCGCTTTTCTTCTAGCACTCCCAACAACTTATAAAAAAATAGCTTCCATAAAGCTGGACCAAGTACTGATCCTTGAGGACATCCCGTCTCTATGAAGGCTTCAGTCTCATAAGAACTACCACGAACCTTTACACGTCTATCCTGTAAGTAGCTTCTTATCAAGGCATATAAGTTACTGGGAGCATCATATTTAGTTTTAGGCGTACTATAAAATGAAGATTTTGACTTTTAACAAGTTGTTGGATCTCATGAAACCGTCACTGAGTCGTCGGAATACAAATTGTCAGTTATGTGTATCTGAGAAAGAAAGACTACTCATATTTATGAGATAAATAACTATATTTTTCCATGAACTATATAACTCATTTTTTAAACATGTGAATGTAGCTCAAAACTGAAAACATTACTTATTCATATTTTGTACAGTCTTGTTTATTAAAAGTATCAATACCACATCTTGAGGAGAGAGGGTGAAGAGAATAAATTTTACCTTATAATTGGGAAACTCGAACCTCACACCTTGTGTCTTTAAAATGCAGGTAAAGAATAAAATGAGCTACCAATAATTCACCAATTATGGCATCTTCAGAACAAAAAAGAAAAGAAACCCTAACCACTTCATGACATTCACTTGTCTTTTCAATAGAAAATAATTACTAACGATTTATCGCAATTTTGGCATACAATTTTAAATCTTCCATGGTGATATCAAGAAAAATAGATAAAAACATATGGAGAAATAGCTGAAAATCAGAGCAATTGATTAAAAAAAAACAAAAAAAAAAAAAAAAAAAAAGATAAAAAAATAAGCTGAAGAGAAGGATGGTTGGGGTGATCAGTCAAAAATAAATAATAAAATTTATTTTTACATTTGCCGACGTTTCGACCCGAAGTTCAGGGCTGAACAAAGCAAAGGCTTGAAGAGATTATTTCTCCAGAGATAGAGAGAGATTATCATTATGTGATCAGATTATCATATTAAGAGATGATAGAGATAGAGGTTATCTCTCCAAGCCTTTGCTTCCGATGAAGGCCTGAACTTCGGGCAGAAAATAAATATTATTATTTATTTTGACTGATCAACCCAACTATCCTTCTCTTTAGTTATTCTCTACAGTCAACCATCAACCCACTATTAAAAAAAGAAAACAATTTTTGAAAATAAAAAAGCAGTTGATAAAGACTTCAATCACAAGAGCTTAGAGAAAATTGGGAAGGGAGAGGGTAGACCGAGCGCATTATTATCACGATATAATAACGTGTTCCAGTAACAGGTTATTTTAATAACCAGTGAATTATCACTATAATGTATAGCTGCTTATTAGCTTTATTTGTAATATTAAACATTATTAATTCGGAGAGCTGTTTTAGAAAACCATTCTACAGTGAAGAATTTCTTTCACAACTTATTTAACACTTTGACATCATTATACATGAAATAATAAAAAATCACAAAATGTATATGATAACCTATTAATTTATATTAAATCTAACAGGTAACAATTTGGACAAGTAGTAAGACTACTTTGCGATTAAGAGTGAGTTAACGCCATCCCATAAAATGGCTTTCAATAAGAATATAATGATTTTTTTTTTATTATTGAAATTTACAACTGTATTAAATGATAAATACAACAAGTAAATATGAAATAAGTAACATGACATGTACAACATGAAGAGAAACTACCCATTGGAAGCACTCCAATTATATTTCTATATTAGATGGTCCCGAGGCAATTTTCTTTTGAGACGCCTCGGAGGGTTATCAGGAATAGAAGAGGAAGCAAGGTTGGAAACAAGAGGGTTCGGATGGTTCAGAAGTTTATTATGGAAGGATAGGTATCTGGATTGGGCTAAATCGGAAACATATGGTACAATAAGGTCGTTATGGATGATTTTATTTGTGACAAAGTAGGGAGCATTGAGGACATTACGAAGGATTTTGGATTCTAGGGATTGGATACGAGAGGAATTTGATGGTTTAGTACAGTCTCAACCTCGATTCCGTAAGTCCAAATAGGCCTTATTATAGTTATATATATATGAGTCTTTTGTTAATAGTTGGAGGTTTAGAGCGTTTGTCTACTAAGTGCTGCAGTAGTCGAAAATGTCCGGCGGTTTCTAGTCGTTTCAGCCTGATATGGGGGTTCCAAGTGAGTCGTTTATGTTATAATGCTAAATCACATTTCCAAATAAAAGTGATTTTTTGTTCTAACAGTGAACACGCTTT